GTATCTTTGTACCACATTTGTTAAGTTTCAACCTTATTTCTTGCTGAAACTAACTAATAACCTTGATTCAGGGTACAAGTTGATGACGAGGATTTATGTGACGGGCCTGATGAATCAGAATATGATACTGATGATTCTAATGGTGATCATAAATAATCTTTCATATATGCTATTTAAAAAAGTTCTCTTTATTCAAGTTCTGACCGATTTTGGTGGTTTTCAGCTGAAAACAACCCGCTCAATGATTATCCGGAAGAGATATCTGAAGAGGAATCAGAGAGTGACACCTCCGATGATGAATCAGAAGAAAATGAGAGTTCCAGTGAAAAATCTTCAGAACCGAAGGGTTTAGAAGACAATGACTTTTTAGAAGATGATATGTATGATGAGAATGATCATGGTGATGACTTTGATTATGATGTTGATCAAAGTGATGATGGCGAAGATCGGAGATGGTCTTATAGGTGAACTTTGGCTTTTCTGTATCTGCTTTCATCTTTGTAGTTTTTGCTCCTGAACAAGTAAATCGTTGTAAAAGTCAATGATGAATTAGTGGTTGCTTGGATATGTGAATATGAACTTCTTGTACATCCTTGTGCTTTTAACATCCTGGATGGATCCAATAGCAGGGCAGTAGAAATAATTTTTTCTGTCATTATATTGCAAAATTTTCAATTGTTTTGTCCATTGAGGAAGTGACGGATTTATGTGCTTGTTTTAGGGGTGGGTCGAGAGTATAACATGAGAAAATTTAATGAAAGTTCACCGATTTAAAAGGGAATTGAACTCTTGATCTATCCTAATCTTATTTCATTACTTCACCACTCCTTCAAGGATAAAAAACTTACCTATTTAAAGACTGGTAAGTTCTTATCCTCCAAGACTTTTTTGGGCTAATCCTAATGCCTTACCCATTTAATATTTTACTTCTTGGTGAACAAGGCGTCTTAATGAAAAAAATTCCAAAAATATAAAGAATACAAACAAAAAGAAGCAAATCCCTTCATTTATTTATTTTAGCAACACTTTCTTTATGTGATGAGGAGAGCAAAACTAGGAATCCTTGTTCGACAAGCATAGGGAAAGTCGTGTGCTGTGTAACTTGTGTTTTCAATTTCCATCCTATATATATATATATTACTCAACACTTTTTACCTCTCGTTTCAATTATCCCTAAGATCTCTTTCCTCTCCACTTCAATTCTTCTCTGATCAAAAGGTATGGAATTTCTCACTGGTAACTTTCCTCTCTTGCACTCTTGCCTCTTATAACTCTTCTTGGTAGTTCTTTCTTGATGTTTTTTTGGGGTTTTTTAACAAAATATTTTTTGTGCTTGTTGAATTTTCGTTCTAGCCTCTTGTATTTTGTGTGATTGAATTGGTCTCTTTCTGTGACGTTGTTGTTTTTTTGACTTGGGCTCCTTGCCTTGTAGTTTTAAGGTCTTCCTCTTTTCTGTACGTTCTAATAAATTCTTTGGTTCATCCAGAAAATTATTAGTGCTTTCGAGAACTTGCGCTCTCTCACTCTTTTATAAATCAATTTGTCTTCCAATATATTTTGATGTTGCGCTTGTCGGCTTAAAACCCTAGTTTGAAGCCAATTGGGTGTAATCTAGTGGAAAAAGACATTGATTTGCATGCTAGTGGTCTCCGGTCGAACCCAAATGGCGCCGTGGTGTGCGTGTGAGAATCCCCCTCCCCTTGTAGTTTAGATTATAAAGAAACCTAGTTTGAATTATTTGAAACTTTTATACCAAAATAATATAATATACTAAAACTTAGATGTTATTTGAGATTGAAATATGTCTTTTTGTGTCCTTTTAGGACCAAAAAGGATGTTTTTTTATTTTTTATAATTGGTCTCTTCTTGTTCAATAAATATTGAATTGAACTATTATTTTGTGACATTGCTGTGATCAGGTCTTTACCAAGAAAACATGGCACCAAACGAATTTGCTCCTTGCACCTTAAGTCAGATGTTGGGGAAGACAGATCCATGGCAGAATAATCGTGTTCAAGATGTGTATCAAAAAATAATTCGGTAATATTTTTAGTCTACGCTTGTTTTTTCAAACTACAATATAATTTTTTATTATAAAAGATTTCTTTATTCAGATTTTAATTTAATTTTTGAAGGTCTATTATTAAGTCCATTGTCCGACTGGAGTTGAAGGGTATAATGCGTGGCCCTTTGGATGTTGACAACATACAAATCGATGAAAACTATGAAGCCAATATCCCAATTGCTGCAAATC